GTATCTTATACGCTTCATTATATTTCGTCAAAATCTCATTTTTTACAATTGAGATTTTATTCATTACCATCACCCAACCTTTATATATAACCCTCTTTCACGCCACCTCCACTAAGAAATTTACCGCAACGTCCCGTAATGCCAATGACAATGGCCTCTCTCTCTAATATCTTACATCCAGTCCAATCCACTGCAATGATCGATTTCTCATATCAAAACCCTTCCACATCTCACAATCATACTGTCATTCCACCAGTCGTTGTCAATTCCAGAAAACGTTCTCATCCAGTCGACAAATCAAATGCACCTCGCCCATACGCATGTCCAATGTGCGATAAAGCATTTTTCCGATTAGAACATCAGACTCGTCATATACGCACTCATACCGGCGAGAAACCACATAGATGCGACTTTCCCGGATGCGAGAAACGATTCTCACGCAGCGACGAACTAACCCGTCATCGCCGTATCCATAATAACACCAACAGAAGAGACAGACGCAAGAATAAATTGGAGTTGGAATTTAAAAATATTCCCCAATCTACTCCTCTTTATAATGGTGCAACCACTGCAGACTATCCTCCAATCACTCAATTGGCTTTACCTTCACCACCATTTGGCAGATGCAATAATTGCGTTACATCATCTCGACTTATCGAACATCCCAGAAAACGTGTTCGCCGCAACAGTAATAATATGATGCCCAGTCCTCCATTATCTGCCACGTCGGCTGATTCAACCTATTGTCTATACACCGACGGCTGCTGTTCTGACACCGAGGCTGATCTTCCGCCAACCCCCGAGATGAGTCCTATTCTTGGCCCTCACGTCAACAACCAAGTTAATCTCTTAGGAGTCGATTGGAAGCCATTCAATTTTTCATTGGCGTCTGTTGGGAGCACTGCACCTGCTGTTAATCGGATTAGTGATATTGTTAATGCTCCATTGACACCTAATGTCAGAACACTGCCTCCTTTGACAGCGAGCACTGGGAATATTGGACAGAGTGGAAATGGTTTTTTTTATCAGAGTGATTATGGAGTGGCTTTACCTCCAATGAGGTATTAAATGAGAGTGGAATGAAACAGTTATGAACGGATGAGTGATGAATATATGTATGAACGCTACTAGTTTATTTGCTTATCATTCCTTCCCTGCAAAAAAAGAAAAAAATTTCTTTCCCTTCTTCAAATCTCAATCCTTAACCCCTCGAACATACACGTTTAAATTATCTTCCAAAAATGATTTGGTTCTTTTTTACACTTCTGTCCGCAAAAAAATTTTTTTGCGATCCTTTATTTTCATGGGCATACGTTCAGTGGCAATGTCAATTGTTTCCCCATTGTCACTTTTATTCGGTTTCTTTTCGTGGTGGGGACGTTTTTGACATTTTTACCTTTGACAACTTCTTACGCCTCTTTTAATCGCGACAACGTTGAATGGGTGGGCTAACCTCGTATTCATTTTGCTTTCTCTCTTTATACATATTTTTCCTCCTTTCTTGTGTATATTTTTTTCATTTTACTCCTGTCTCATAAAAAATATAAAATTCAGCGAGATATAGATTTGTATTTGCGCTTCCTTTGTTACTTCTTTTCATATTAACCTTCTTCTGTATATAGTCAAGTAGAATTCTCTTTTAAAAAAAATCGTCATCCTACGATGCTCCGGTATCAATCTCAACTGAACGCGGATGCTCATGGGAATCTTAGTTGACTTTTCTTTACTTTCTGATTCGTGGGGTGGCTTGACATTCTTCATCAATAACCTTTATAAAATTTAAAATCAAGATTATATCAAAATTACATTTATGGATTATATTACACGCTTTTTTATATATATTAAAAGACACACGGAGAGTATTGGTTGGGAGGTGTGGTTTCAGACCGCTTCTCAATCAAGACTTATAGTGCAAGTATGCCTTTTTTACGATTATCAAGCATTTTTATATTACGAATATTATATGTAGATAAATATATTTATAGCTTAGTATACACTTTCATTGTACAGAAATTCTATTTACTTATAACTTCATATGTACAGATTCTTTTATATAAAACCAAAATAACGATAAATATAAAATAGGCATTTGATGAAGACATGTCAACTCACCACGATATCAGAAACTGATTTGAAGAAAAGTATTAAATCAATAAAAAATTGCGTAAATGCATAAAACATAAATTTAATGTGGTATATGTGCACATGAGGCAATGCAGGGGGGTGTATATCCAAACAAATGCTTTTATACTACCAGACTTAGGAAGCAAAAATAATTGTGGGCTTCAGTCTGTTTCTAACGGTTATTATTCGAGTATAATTCATGCGAGAAAGTAACATATATCTGCAAAGATTAGCACGATTTACTGAATTGAAAGCTCTTCTTCCATAATAAGAGTGGATGATAACTGTCATATATCGTGATTTGATACAGTGTTTAGTCCTACTTCTGCAAATTGACAGTATATTATTCCCGGGAATGCCTGTCGTGCAAGCTTATTCTAAATTTGCTTGGATTATATTGTATGCTCCTACTTTGTGGTGACACTCATGTGAAGGGGACATTAATGTTTGTTTCTTCCACAAACCCCAGTTTAAAATGATCGGTCAATCATTGTCCGTCCCCACATTCCCACTCCACTTTCTTTCCAACGCATCATTTTCACGGGGAAATTGACATTGCCTGATAAATTACATACATTATATAGATATAAATAAGGTAAATCATAAGTCACAATAGGATTAGGATGGAATCACAGGTACTTACCAAAGATAAGCTATCGCACAAAACAGAGAAGCATTCGTATTTATGACAAAAGTGTTAGCAATCAGTTTATTAGTATACACAGGTAAGTATTATTTTGGGACAAAACTAATAGACATGATAAGTGGAGTTTCTACTTCTGATATTACTGCGAAAACTTGTCGACAAATAGATCGTTTTTTATATGACACGTTTAAATCCAATATTAATTAATATAAGTCGTGTTCAACAAACGGTCGCTTATACTGTGGTAGATATTTTGCGAGCTGATCTTGTGAGACTTAGCAATACATCAAGACTGTACAGCTTTAGACGCGAAAATCCTGATATGACAATGATTTTAGCGGTTGCAAATTACTACAAAAAGGTGAGATAACATTCTGTGTGCATCACAGCTTATTTCTTTGCCGGTATTCCATGTGCAATCAACTATTCTGTCATATAATAATATCAAGATATCAAAAACTATGGGTATAGTCAATAATTCTTCCGACGTTAGTCAAATTAGCCCGCCTGTGGTAGTTACAGTTATAGTTGACGATAATTTATGGACAATTAGAAGAATATAATTAGAGAAGATAGAATGAGAGCAAATTTAAAGAAGACAATCGGAATTGTTTGTAGCATAAAATTAGAATAGATCATGGAAACTACAACAGCTTTCCAATTTATGATTTAGACTTACTAGATTCTATTGACGTTCTCGTATTGAGGAATCGTCTATCCGGTTGTCATTTAAGATTTGAAAATTTGTTTAAGCCAAATAAAAGTTCATCTTTTACAACACTATTACGAATAGCGGAAAGGCTTCATTAAGGTGCGAGTGTTTTTTAATACAGAAGAAGCTTCTAGACTGTAGAGACAAAGTTTTCCCCTTTTTTACGTTTATTGAGAAAATCAGCGATCATGAAAATATCAACACTCTATCGCGAAGCACGGTATCTTTTCACTTTTCCGAGTACTAATTAAGAAGACGCACATGTCTAGCGCGAAAATTTTACCAGTTCAGATTAACAGCCTTCTTCGAGATGTTATCTCAAAGTGTTTATCAACCGACAATCTTCGAATAATAATATCTAAGTTTTAAACCAAGCTTTTATAAAATTTACTAGACTTTCAAGCATATTTGAATTTCTCAGCGAGTAAGCAAGAATTACAACAACTATGGAATACCCGAAGAATTTTTTCAAAGTGAGTATACGAGCGCTCTTATTATTCCTATAGTCAGGTTTTGAGAAGAATAGCCATTGGAGCATCTTTAATTTTCTCTCTTCGTAGGGCGGGTACCGCATTTCCAAAAATTTCTCGGCATAATATGGAGTATTCATGGTAGAGCGCTCATGAGTGAAAGTGTCGAATGACTTCTTTCCATGGTAACTACCTATACCGGATGCTCCAACGCCACCAAAAGGAAGGTTTGTGACTAAAACGTAGATTAAAAATATCGTCAGTTAACTGTGATTAATGATATGTGTAAAAAGACAACAAAACATAGATCGTAAAGGGCATGAACTCACCACTAAAATGCATTATAACGTCATTTGTAACAGCAGCGCCCGATCGCGTATTTTCGAGAACTAGACAATCAGACGTGTTAGTAAGTCGGCTGCGTTCATATTTAACCTATACTTATAATAATATTTCCCGCGCTTTCAGGAAATTCGTTTACAATATCGCCAAAAGACGGAATACATGTTTCTACGGACATGGCAGATCGCCTGAAAGCAGGGGTGGTCTCAACACATAAATACATGACAAACGAACGTACTGTATTCAATTGTCTTCGAGTTCTTGCTAAAAGGATATATGGTCAAAGGAGAGTCATTGCTATTCACATAAGCGATTGCATCGTCAAGATTATCTACGACTACTATGGGAAGAACTGGTCCAAACAACTCATCTTGCATCAAAATATCATCCTTTGATACGTCTGCAACAATAGTAGGGGCAATATACAATTCCTTCCAGTCTGTTTCGCCGCCAATGATGACTCTACCTTGAGTCTGAGTCAACATGTTCGCCAGTCTGTCGAAGTGTCTGCTGCTGACTAAACGAGCATAGTCAGGACTTTCCTTCACGTCTCCGCCGTACAGTTCTTTCAGAGCTATTGGGAAATGTTTCAGGAGTGCTTCCTGCATAGACCGCTCGCATATGATATAATCGGGAGCTATACAAGTCTTTGTATAAACATTGTTAGATTACGTTCATCATCTTAGAGATTCCTCCTTTTGCTCCTTTTTCATATAGCGCTTCATAAATTTTCTTGACTTGTTCCACCGTATAACCTTTAGGAGCATTTCCAATATTTTATTATAGAAATTAAATAATTTTACCTGCCCACAGTTAAAAAACTTCCCCCAAGCGACACGCTTGGCAACAATGGACGGGTCCGCGTCATTACCAACAATGACAGGACTTTTCCCACCAAGTTCCAGAGTAACTCGTGTCAAATGATTTGCTGCCGCCGCCATAATCAATTTACCAACGGAGCCTGAACCGGTGTAGAAGATGTGATCAAACTTGTTTTTTAATAAACTGGTTGTTTCCTCTGGTCCACCATTAACAATGCAATAAGCCGATTGATCGAGATATTTGGGAACGAGTTCATGTAGAAGAGCGGCTGTATGAGAAGCTATTTCAGAGGGTTTGCAGATTGCCGTGCAGCCGGCGGCAATTGCACCGATGAGTGGGCCAAGTAGGAGTGCGATAGGATAATTCCACGAACCGATAATTAAGACAGTACCTAAGTATCGCAACGTACAGTTAGGTACTTAACTATTCCTTATCATGCACCAATGTATCAAATTAGAATTTAATCTAAAGCTTACCAACAGGTTCCTTTCGGATATGACAGCTGTTTAACATATGCCCGACGCCTACTTTTACATACTCACTTGCAGCCCAGCTATCTAGATTTTTTAACATCTCGACGATCTCCTGCTTTGTAATAACGGTCTCTCCAAGCCATGCCTCTGCACGTGGCTTACGACCGTCTTTTTGTACCGCGTCAAAAATCAAATCTTCATTCTCATCGAGCAACAGGTACAACTGTTTCAGTTGTGCTTTTCTATATGAGAGAGGCTTTGTCACATTTGATCTGAATGTTTTACGAAGGTCTTCGATTATCTGATATGCGAAATTTTTTGTAAGACATGTCTTTTGACAAATGTTAGCAGAATTAACCCATAGGATTCGATACCTGAGGCATCGCCTCTGTCACAGTATAGGTCAATGTCATTTCTTTAGATCTAATTCGAAATGATCCGGACTGAAATGACTAGAATAATCGGAAATTTAGCTGCCAAGTCACACAGCTTGCCAGGTTGTGCGGCCCATAATATTTCCATTTATGAAGGAGAGGCCAGCTGAGCATCCAATGAAAGAATAGTATTTGAGCTCGTACGACGTGGAAGGTTGTGCGACCTGGCAGGTAAATTTGACTAGATAGGAAAATTTGTCATACCAACTAGTTGTGATCACATGAGATTGGCCAATTGGATCGATCGAGTTGATCAGCTGTTTATACTACGAATGTTTTCAGAATACGATCCCTTCATAAATTCTGCAAGTTTGATTAAATGCTTGATTTACTATACTATTTGAAGCACTCGGAGGTTTTACTTCTCCAAATGTAATTTCAATCAAAAGAACCCGGAAATCTGGTTTCCTTCATGTTTGTGGTGATTAGATTTTCGTCGTTCCTTCGAACTATTAGACTCACCGTTGGCCCTGATTTCATAAGTTTAGGAATTAAGTATTCATGTATATTGAATAGTTTGTACTAATGAGAATTTTACTTACCATACGAATTTAAGATGATTCATGCTAAATATTTCCTCAAACATCAAATGACAATACCGGTGGACAAAAGTGTCCTCATCCATAACATTTTTAATGCTGTCTGATGGTAAGTTTAAGAAACTGCAGAGAACATATATATAATTAATATAATACAAAATACAACAAAAAATAGTATAATCTTTAGATTTAAACCCTACAAATTTCTTGTCACAAGTTGAACACAGTCAAACATACACCTTTCTTCTTTGGTCATTGATGGATCCCATTTGGTCCAATTTTGATGCCATTTATGTCCAATTCCTCTTTATTAGTTAAAAGCTAAATAAGAGATAGGAATAAATTATTGATTATTGATTATTTATTATAATGTTTCAGGATGGTTAATAAAAGACTTACCATACTATATTCCATGATGTTCAGTTGAGCACTTATTGCCAAAGATACTGGAATTAAAGGTTTAGGTAACGCAGTTTTCCAGACTTGATCGGAACATTTTACATACTTCGGTTTATCCTCCGTTACATAGATAATTGATGAAAGACACCTGCAATAATGTACAAAGTTAAATATGGAGAAATCGATCAACTTTGCATGTCAAAATCTTACAAGATTTTGTCAACATCGCGTAGGAAAATATCGGATCGTTCTTTAATTGATCAACCACTTGTATTTGAAATTCTCGAAAATCTCTCGAAATATTATAGCCGTTTGCAAACCACTATAGGTAAAAAAAAACAATTAATGAACATTTACTATATACTTGAAGAAGTTAAAATATTTCAATGCTTACATCGTGATCTGAATTATTAAAATTTTTTGTTTTATCAACAACGTGTCCCCATGAGAGTATCGTCTTTGATTGATAAATATTAATCGATAATGTTTGGATCTTGCTGATTGTAGTCGATTACTTGAAACGCCTTACTTTTTCCGACTTTTCTGAAGTAGTTTCTTCAACAGTTAATTTTGATTCGCCATCTCAGCATCGACAATCGCATCTTCTGTTCCACTTACGTCGGGGTTGAAAGTAGTGTATGTTTTTTGTACATCCATAGAAGGAACACCGGTTGATTGATCAGCGTCAACGACAATTTTATTACTTGATTTATTTCGTTTAACGCTCTTGCTTTCGGTATCTTTCATTGACCTACGCTTTCTCACATTTTTAGCAATGTCAGGAGGACTTTGGAAGAAATTGTCTATCTCATCCTACAGAAATACACGAAGTCAATATAGTGAAATATAAATTGGAAGTATGTGCTAACCCTTAACTAAAAAAACTCGCATCCACACCTTTTTTTGAGAAATTTCTTCACGATCTGTCAAATAATCATCATCTTCTGGGAAGTTTTCGACTTCTGCCCTTTGGTTGTCTAATTGCTCTCGTTTTTGAGGACGCTCTCCTAGATGATTAAGTTCTGAATCGCAGTATGTGGCCTGAGAATCATTTCGCATTTCTTGCAATAATTCCCGATTATATATATCGTGCATCACAATACGGGCTTCGGTAATATTTTCAAGTATTTCTGTCTTCTCTTTTAAACGCTAGTTGAGTGCAAAATATATAGATAAGTCAACATTCTGCAATGAGAGATTCAATAAATTGAATATACCTTTAACTTTTTGGTGCGATCCATTTGTTGTTTCAACTTCAACATTCCCAGTATCCTTCAACGGAACGTGATTTTATTGAGATATGGAGATTTTGTAAAATATTTTTCGCTTATTCCCTATATTTGGAGCTCCCTGTAGCAACCCCAGTGAGAAATTCGCGTGATAAATTCAACCTCTTGTAAAAGTTGACTGGTGTAAAGTGTTCAAATATACTATTCAAGTCTTGCTCATTTTCAAGGATTCAATGAATATAAACAATAGTGAATAGTTGTGTTAATATGATAAAATGGGCAAAGAGGGGTAAATATTTCGTTCGTGTTATTTTCTTGACTCGCGTATATTTTATTACATGGGAGGGCCAGTCGATCTTACTATACGTGGGGGGGCTGAAAAGTTTTGCGTGTGACTAACTCGAGATTGCATCAGTTTAACTAAAATTAAGAATAATCATCAAATGCGCATGCTTTCATAAAAAAGTAGAGGCGAATTCATTATCTCATTGTCGAGAAACCAATTTTTTTGTAAGCCATAGTAAAACAACTGGAAGAAAATGAGCCGTG